TATATAACATATTTTATATATATATGTAAAATAAAAGAAGAATTACCTGTTGGGAATAACAGTTAGGCTGGTAATGCTCTAAATAGATTAACCATATTAGATACGTTCAGTGGCAAAAAGCTGAAATGTGTGTGTGTATGGCTGCCAGAAGCCCAGAGCAGTGATGAAAACATTTGAAATACTTGTGACAGGGTGTGAAGAGATAACAGCATATGGTTGAACAGTTGTCATGATTGACGTAGAGATAGTGAAAGATGCATTGTTGAAGGAAAATGGGGATAAAGTTGGAGGCAGTCAGGGACATATTGGTGCTTTGGTAGGCTGCAAAGTAACAGTGCTGAGCAGTATTTGGGTTTTGGAGTCACTTTGAAATACAGTAAGGTTTTCTACCGGGGTTAGTGGCCAGTAGTCTTCTGTAGAGCCGCATCATATCATCGTTCTAAATATCCACACCAGGTTCCATTGTTGTGTTTTTTTGTTTTTTTTTTTAAAAGATACAATAATTTCACTGGAATGTAATAGAAAAAGGTAACGCTTGAGCCTTTGACCAGTATTCCAGGTGACCCCACAGGGTGCTTAGTATAGGTCTGCTGAGTATTTTCTAGGTGTGTCATAGGTTGTAGGCCAGAGAGTTCAGATTAGAAACCACTTCTATAATGTATTGCAGATGTGCTAAGACAGCAAAAGGAGAGATGGCACTGTGTTGTCCAGGTTGCTGTCAACCACTATTTGAATACACGATCTCATTGAAACATGATTAAAATGCCCTCTTGTGACCACAGATACACATTACAGTGCAATTTTAAGTCATTTATTATAGTGGGACTGAATATTTGCATGCGTATTCATCCTAGTGAGGAAACCAATTTTCCTTCCACTGTGTGTGATTGATTGTTTTCCCCCACACATGCTACTTTTATGTATATATGTTATTTTCTGCTGTTACGTATCAGAAGGAGCGTTTCCTGTAGGATTCACACTGACTACACTATCCAACTCGTTCTGTAAAGAACAGATGTAATTGCAGTTTAGGTTTGTCTTGAGTCCCTTGAGACTCCACTTAACATAAAAACTACGAGACGCATCACTTTGCCTTTTGTGCAACTGGTGACATGATTACTTTTCAGCGTGTCAGCATAGGACAAGAGGGACAATTAATGAAGAGACTTCAAGAGGATAGGCAAAAAATATTTTTTGCTGCTTTTCTTAAAAGACGTTCCCTCAACCTAAATATGTGGCGTAGTCAAATTAAATAGAAGGGGTAATGAGAAGAAGATTCTACTCTTTATAGGCTTTCTATGGAAATTACCCAAAAGGTAATATGTTACCAAAACATCCACACTTTAAACAAAACATACACACTTCGATGGAAATTGAGTTGAGAAAAAGCAGTGGTAGACCTGGATATTAACATTGCATTCATAGCGCTGTGTTTAAAAGATTCTGTAGCACAGCTTAAAATTAGGTGGTGATGATCTGCAAAGAAAAAAAAAAAAAACAACCTTATATCTGTTTCTTCGTTCATTATTATATACAAGGACAACCACAGACATGTTTTAAGTTTGTTTCTGTTTTTTATCCATTCAAGTGCGGTGGGGTTTTTCCCCCACTTGTTTTACTGGGCAGATTCTGGATGAATGAGTTACTAACAAGAACTGAAATCTAAACAGTTGAGAAGTGATATTTAGTGATTTAAAAAAAAAAAAATCATTAGAATAACTCTCCTGCTCCACTTTCTTTTAGCTGGTTTCTTAATCACTATCTGACAATCAGTAGTTAGAAGAAACCTTTTCCAATTCATTACAGAAAAGTCTTTTTAGGAAATGGCCAGTGATTATCAGATCTTCCAAGAACCAGTGACGCAAAATAAAGCTTTGTTTCTTTTGTTTTTAAAGATAAAATTTGCAGGAAATAAGCAGTTTGAAGCTTTATTATGAAACAGAAAATTGCTGAATGGGTGTTTTATGAATTGCTGCCTCAATGTTTTTGAGCACTGATTCTTGTGTTCTTTCCAGCTTTCTCCAGGCACACATTTTAGCTGCTCCTTGATATTTTTTTTTCCCTCTGCCCATCCAGTGCTTGCTTATTGAAGAGCCAGTCTCTGTTTACTAAGGTTTTAACGTCTTTGTTCTCTCACCTTTCTTGGGGGGGAGGAATTTTTTTTCATGTAGCCATTTTTAGTAGAATAACATCTGAGGCACTCAGGTTAGTTTAAAGTGCAGCTGTTTTGACACAAATAATGGAAGTTCATCACTATATTACAGTTAAGTGAGAGACTATAATTTTTGCTCTTACTAGCGAGTAGTTCTTACAAATACAGGACAAGCTCTATTGGAGACTATTTTGACTTCATTTAACATGTAATAGTGAATGCTTGGTTACTCACTATTATTATTCACATATAGCTTATGACATTCTCACTTTCCTTAAAGGGATGGAGCAGTTTTACGACTGGAGCGAGCAAAATTGCCTCAGCTGCTAAAGAGGGTGTAAGTAAACAAAATGTATTTCAGTGTAATTCTTGTAAAGTCAGAGCTTCTGTTAGTGTTCTAATAGGGATGTATCTTTAAAATTATTATCAAGACAAGCTATAAACTCTGCTCTGTGTGTATCTTTGCCTATGGCATATAAAATAGACGCACGTTGAATGCAGATCTCTGCCTGGAGTATTTCTTATGTTTCTGGATGGACATTTTTGTAAATTTGTCCACTGGAGGTAAGCATCGAGAAAGAACTCAACTGCCATTTTTATTTTCCCTTGAGAAACAACAAATTTTATTTCTAAAGCAGAAATTTCAGTCTATGCCAAATAAAGCCA